GGCATCTGTAGGTTCGATTTGTGAGTTTGGTTTTCTTCCAACATTCCAATTTAGACTTCAGAGTTTTAGGTAGCTGTCTTCATACGAACTCCACCCACTAACTTCAAGTTTGAAGTTTTCCCACCAACTAGAAATCTTAAGTTTTAGCTTTGAACAGTTTTTCAGTGTTTTTTACCTCACTGAGAAAACAATGGGCAAAAGCAACACTCATTAACATAAATCATTTAATTAGAATGTATTCAAGGCAACCTTCCATTTACACTACTTAACTGTTTTAATTTTATAAGACAAATTTTAAAACACTGTGATTAAGAGCAGCTTTCAAAATTCAGGTTTCAAGCATAACCATGTTATTTTATTCATTCCCAACCTTGATAGAAGTTCTAAGTAAATGAATGATCATGAAATTTTTAGTATCAACTCCAACAGTTCTGCAAGAAAATACTCGTGGATTCAACTGCAAATATTTTCTTCTCTTAGTATTTGATCTTAACCATTCTTTCCCATGACTTTCCTTAGTATCCAGTTAAGTAACCAGAGAATAAGTAATATCCAGTTACATAACAGGAGCATACATTAAAAAAAAAAAAAACAGAATAGTTACAATTTCATCCTAATTTTGAGATGCTCTCTGAAACTGAACTGTTGTGTAGCACATAGGTACAAATAAGCACTTTTATGATGGTGTGCACTCTATATACTTCACAAAATAGCATTACCTGGAAAAACCTAATTTTAATATACATCTTCAGGAAAAGTGTAATCACAAACTATCACTAATATTTTCTTTTAGCTGTGGAGTATTTTTAACATAATTGTTAAATGTTCCATTAGTTTAACTGTCTTCTAACAAGACCACAGAGAGTTACTTTAAAGAGGTAGCTGATAATTATGAAAACTTACATTAGGAAGGAAACCCAAATGTCATCTACTCCCTTCACTCACTCAATAGAAATATTCCTCCCTAATATTAATATAACATGAATGATAGACTAATAATTCCTTATTTAGAAACATATTCATCCGACTTTTCCAGAAAGAAAAAAAACATTAAAACCTGCTTTACAAATTATACCTTTTGAAAAGCTAGTTTGATGCTTGAAGTCAGAATTATTTTCTGGATCTGGTGAGGCAAGCTTAGATACCCACAGGAGCCAGGGAGATGAGGGTAAAAATTAAAGCAAGATAGGATGAAGGAAATCAACAGTTAGTTGTGAAACCAAGGGCAGTAAGGAGTGTGTGTGGTGTGTGCGTGTGTGCGTTGGGGGGGGTGATGACAAACTGGGGAGTGCATGGTTTCAAGGGAGCATCAAAATTACTCATTTTCAGCTTGATGGCTACCACCTGAGAATGCAGCCTTCAGCATTCTAGGTATTTTGAAGTGCAGACCTTGTGAAAACATGTATTTTTAAGTCTAATCTTTACACTTTAAATGATGGAAGGCAGTTAAAACAGCAACACTGTATGGGCCAGATCAAACTCCCTTTGTGGGCTGCTAGCACACACATCTCGTGCTCTGGATCTTACCTTTGCCAGCTACTTTTAGAAGTGTGTGAAAAGAATACTGCCAAAGCCAAAGAGGGTCTTGTGATCAGAAAGAAGAAATTTGGAGATCATACGGACAAGAACTGGGAAACTGCAGGTACAGGGGAGTCGTAAAACTTGGGTGTCAAGATGAAATTTTAAGAGAACAGGTTTTAAACTACTGGAAACAATCTTTTTATCAGTTCTGCTTTGTTCAAGAAATTGACGAGACTAGTCCTTTTCATAGGACTGACAAGACCGAGGTTTGGCAGCATTCCTTTCTTTCTCTACAAATTGTACCTGTTTCTCAATTAGAAATGGTAACTTGTTTTTTGTATGTACATCCAGTTGAGGACACTATAAAAATGTTTATTGATTTCCTTTTCATCACTGAAATCAAGGCAAATAGTATAATCACCTTCCAGTTAAGTGATAGAGCTCCATAATGTCAGACTATCTTTTCTTTTAAATTGTGTTAAAAACACCAAAAACTAAAAAGGAAAATGTGCATTATTCTGATGTTTCTGGGGCGGGGGGGGGCGGTGGTAGGGAGCATAAGCAGCACTTTCAGCTGCAGTTGGCTTGAGAGGATGAAACATATGCACGTTTTCCAGTTGGTTTATTGCACTTCATGTACAGTCATACGTGGTTCTCCATTCACATGTGATTTGAGACCTATGCAAACTTTTCTCTATATATACAATTTCCACAAGTAAAGTTCTAAATGTCTTATACACACCACTACAGTATAAACCATAAAGATGTATTTGGTAATCAAAACTTCTCAATAAGAGCATTGAAAATTATATATATATATTATATATATGTCATTTTTTACCCTGGGAGCTGAGCTTTTTCCACAAGGTGATGTCTTTTGCCAAGAAAGGAGAGCAAAATCATAAGCAATGCAAAATCAACATTGTGTTGCTATTTGCTGCACCTACCATCCACTTCTAAACTGAATTAATTCTTCCTCCTTCTCTCCCGCCCCTGGCAATTAGTGCAGCAGAAACACAGACAGGAGAGCACTATGCTTAGGTGAACCAGTTTGATTCAGCATTGAGTACCAGGTATGCATAGAATTTTAAGTCTCTTTGTAACAAAGGCATTTCAAATTCATTTTTTATGAAAAGAAACCAGACAAAATTACATGTGTACCATATGAGTATTTCTAAAAGTGTTGCCTATAAAATGTAAGATTTTTTCTATTTTAGATAAAGATATTAAGGGACTTGTGACAATGTTAAAAAACTACCTTGGGCACTTCTAAAAAGTTTGTGAGCCGAGAAAGTTTTCTGAGTCATTTTTGCTATTATAATTTAGCATTACATTTCATTCTACTAAAAATCAGTTGCTAGAAATCTTAAAATAGCTAATTGTTACAAAGGAATACAGACAGACATTTTATCCCAAACAAGCAAATGAAAAACAACAAAAAACTGGAGAAACCCTGAACTGTCATATAGGACATATAAAAGTGTTAGGCTTCAATGGTAAAGAAGATTCTTGATTTGGTAACAAGCAATTTCATTTAAACCTATTGTCTGCTTTCACTGCACTAGAAAATTTAGATCCTATTTATCTAGTATTTTTAAGTTTTTTTTTAGAAAACCTTAACCACTTTTGTGTATGAACGTACACGTCTTGCCTTTGTGAACAGGGTGCTTCTGCGGCTCCGGGCGGAATCTACGATGTGTGCGCAGGTGGCTGCACTAGAGTGTGTGTATCTGCTTTCATGCTATGTTCGTCCTGACACTTTGCCCAAGAAATACATGCTTAACTACTAAGTACATTAATGTTACCAATTTCTCGACTGAAAGCTTAACTTTCAATTGTTTTGTCAAATGATAGTATAAAACAATAGACTTAGCGTTTTATCATTCTAAGAATCTGGTAGTTTCCTTTTTAATACTATTACAACTTTTATTAAAATGGGATTTGTACTTTTTCCACCTTTTAGTCTTTTCCAACTTTTCCAACATAAAAGGTGACAATATGACATACTTATACATGAAGTACCATTAACTGAAAATGAGATGAGACTGTATTCAGAGGCTTCAGAGAATGTGTAGTGAGTTGCATAGAAATTCATCAATTTATGTGACACGGTACTGTGATGACTTATAGATTAGCAGCTTGACTAGTATCTTCAAATTTTTACAGAATAATATATGAAGTGTACGGCAATGAGAATGTTTACAGATAGTAGCATATTAAAGCTGTCTACCTAACAGAAATACATGACCCCCCCATCAAATAAACAACTATATTTGAGCCAAACAACTATCTCTATGATGATTAAATTAGCTATCACTATTGTATGTAATTCACTTATGTAGGTATTCTATGGGAATATATAAATATGGGAGTACTTTGACAGTCTGATTGGTGAAAAGCATATTGGTATAGTTATGTCTTTTATAACATGTAGCTTTCAGCCCCAAGTTTTAGAACTTTAAAATAAATAAAAGTGTAATTTACAAAAATGAGTCCATTATTTACAAACATAAAAATTCATCCTGAGAATTTATTATCCAGGAGAACTATTTCACAGAAAAGGAAATTACCAGTATCTGTGAAATAAAAATGTACCTCAAGAGTTAAAATTCATATGTGGAGGTCAATTTACCTAAGTTGCAGCCAAGAAAAGCATGAAGATATTTAATAAATCTTAAATTGATTTGCATGCAAGAAATGAATGAGATGTAACTTCTCAAATGCCACTGCCATTCTCCCCTAAACTTCTTGTATTAATGGAGTATTCTGGCTGTATTTTGGAAGAGGGTGAGAGAGAAAGAACACCTCAGGAAAACTCAAGGATGCTGTCTCATCTCTCCCTAGGGGTTACAAGAGGAGAGAGGCGGGTGCACTGTCATTATTAATGGCTTACTTTGGACTGTTCTGAGAAACAGAGCCACTCTACCTTTGGCTTTACCTGGTTGAGCCCCCACCCCCACCCCAAAAGGAACAATGGCTGAAACAGTTCAACACTTTATAAAGGAAAAATGTCTAATTAAAACACAAATGTGAATAAAGACAAAGCCTCATCAGATTCTTTGCTTTATAATGTGACCATAAAATTACCTACTTAACAGAAATTAAAAGAAATGGTTCAACAAAGAATCAAACTGGTTTTTTGGGGTATATCATCACAACGAATCTCTTTACTCTTTACGCTGTGAGCAGTGATTATTTTGGAGAAGGAAAAATAAGAAAAGTGTGGAATTAGTAATGCAAGAGGCTGAAAGGCAAGTGGCAAGACTAGAAGAATGCCTCAAACCGATGCTACTTTGTTCCCATCTCTACTGGCACCTACCCCCCAAGGTAAAAGGCCAGAATAACCAAAGCCATCTTAACAGTAGTGTGCGCAATTGTCAGCTGACAAACAACATAAAAACAAGTCACGCTATGTTATCTGTGGTCACGTTCTTCAGGGTTAGTCCAGTAACTCAAGACTTTACATTCTTTTGTCTTTATTTGTTTATTTTAATTAAACACGAAAAGGTTAATAAACAGACATAGTCCAGAGTTAGTAGGTTGGTATTATAACATTTATTAAAATAATGCTATGGGTTAATAGAAACAGCAAAGAACCAAAGAATTAAAATGCAAGCTATGTAAAATCCCAACTAAAACCCAAAAGTGTCTAATGTATTCATTCATTAGCTAACTAAAAGCCCAAGAAAGACAAGACACCCAATATAATAAAGTACTGCAAAACAATTGGCAATTTTCAGTTATCAAAATTGTGGATTCTGCATTTTGTATCCTTTTCTCAATCAAGAAAAAAATTCTTTTTGAATGTTATATAACATACATATAAAACAAGATAGAAAAATACATTATAAACTTGTAACAATGGCTGTAAATACATTATCTTACATGTTTCTCATAGGCAATAGGTTGGTTATGATACATACATAGCATGAAACTACTAAGATAATAAAGAATTGACAAAAATACATGTCAGCTGTACGGTAACATACAAGCGACACTCCCATCTACCCACACTAAAAAATTACATAATACTGTCAGAAAAGAAGTCTTAAAAACTACATATTTTAATAAGAAATAAATTCAATAAAGAATGATAATACTGAGAACCAAGGCATTCAGAGATTTCAAAAGTCATGCTTTTTTTTTCAGTTGATCCAAAATTTTATCAACTAAGTTTTCAAAAGTTTGTTCAGAGCCAACATTACTCATAAATGTCACACATTTATTTCATACATTTACTTTCTTCCCCATAAAAGACCTTTGATAAACATCTAAAATGTCCAGGTATAACGTAGTTGAGATGAAACTGGATCAAATACTGGTATTGTTTTTAAACTACTATCACCTCAAGTGTTTGAGTGTCGCAAATTTATTCAACCAACCAAACAAAATAAAAATCAAAATGGCACAGCATATATTGTAAATAAATCAAAACAACTGTATATGTAACAGAAAGACAAAGCAGTGGCACATTAAACCAACGCTAGCTGAATACAAAACAATGAATGTCTATTGCATAGTAAATAAACTGAAAACGGTTTCCAAGTGAGACAAGATGATGGAGGAGGTCACCGCGAAGGTGCTGACTGAGCTTACTGCGGACCTTTGACTGTGAAGCCGTGAAGGTATGCAAGAGGGAATGAGTTGATGAGCTGGGGATCCACTGCCACTTGATATTTGCCACACCCGTACTGAGCAGTTAAGGATTACTGAAGTGTTTAGATGTAGTCGGCTCTGTGCACAAATCGCTTCAACTACAAAACTGAATTTCATGAGAAACTGGAAGCTTAAACTCACAGGTAGTTGAGCACTTACATGCACAATGATGCCAGTTATTTTTTTTGAAGTTTAACAAAAAGGTGTGTAGGGGGTGGGGGCCTCTTAGGTTACTTAAACCACCAAAGATATGGACTACCCAAGTGATCTGGTACGGTAGAAAGAAGTCTGATTAGATTTGGGCCATTAAAAAATACTGTTATCCAGAGTGAAAATCATAGAGATTCATTTTTCTGAAAAAGTTTGCTAAGAATGGTATTATCTCCAATTTAGTAAGAAAAAGTCCAACACACCCCTCCTTCTCTGAATAAAATAAAGTTCTACTTTTGTCTGTAAACTGATGTTCAGATCACACATAATTTTTATCTCAGAACCTTGTGGGCTACTGTTAAATATCACAATAACCAAAAGCACTCGATTATGATTTTAAAAGAATGATGTTTTAAAACTTACTTGTCAGACATTAGAAAAGTTATCAAATTTTTTCACAGTATCAGATTTGGCAAATTTCTATCAAGGTAACGTGGCAAAAATCATGTAATTCAAACCATCAACTCATTTGTCTCCCCTCAAATCTTCTTTCACATACTGGGCGGGCGACTGAGTTAACATGCATTAACTTGTATTCTGAGGGAGGAGCTGATCTTACAAGACACTTGACTAAATGACCATGAAGGAAAATAAGGCACTTTCTTTTCTTTAGACTTATTCCAATACTTAAAAAATAAAAAAGAAAGACAAAAAGGCTCTTTTGGTCTTTTGTTTCTTGACAACCACCAGAAAAAATCATTTAATGAAATAAAGGGTTTCTTTGTTCTTTTTCTTTTTTTTTTATAACACTTGAAAGTATAAAATGCTACATTTCCAAAAATATATATATTTTTTTTCTGCACCAGCACCCTTGTATAGTAAAAGTATCTACTTTTTGTTCATTTGTTTCAATGCACTACACTTTATCTACAATTTCATTACATGTATACAGCAAATAGGCAAGCATGGCTTTTACATCCTTAATGATTTTTTTTTCTATACAGGGAGGTTTTAAAAAAAATATTTGAACAGTTTGCCCAGTAATGTGACACATAATGCATGTACCTTGTTCTCGTATACTTTTTAAAGGAGGTTGTAAAATAAAGGTTCAGTAATTTTAACTCAGATATTTATCTTTTTAAAAATAGTGTTGCAGTTTTGTTCTTTGCATTACTTCTCAAAATTCCTTGTTTTTTCTCTCATGGCACACTTCTAATACTTCAAATTTTGGCAGGCAATATAAAAAAGGCTGCAACTTCTGCCCTTTGAGGGCACTGTAGTGACTAAACAGCATATCAAATTTTGAATACTTTTTGAAATCACTTCACCAATGACATCCCTGACCAAAGGTTCATGCATGATGCATCATCACACGGTACATTCAGAGAGCTGTGACTCGCTATGAGAAGATTCCTAGAAGTCTCTCACAGTAACTGCCTCTGTCACTGAGTAGTTAAGGGCCATCTGTCTCCCCTTCTGAAGTGAGGCCTTCTTACCGTTCGCTTAGGGTAGGACATGAAAAGATGATCAGTGCTGTGGGATGAATTGGGCCTTATTGCTTTACTACTATTCAGTGCAGGTTCTAGAACCACTTTCACCCAAACAGAAAGAAAAACCAAAAGCTGAGTTGGAGGACAACAATTTCTTTGTCTTTTGTTTGGTTAGATGGTAAGACGAACGGACAAAGTGCCTCAGCTCGCTGCACTGACGACAGGCAAGCAAAGGCGATTACCAGTTAACTGATCAGCAGGCAGGCATGGTCAGGTCATCATTGGGTGAAGAGTTCAGAGGTCAGAAGGTCATAGGTTAGTTGCCGGTGGCGGCTGGGTGGTTAGAAACAAAAAACAAAACAAAAAAAAAAAAAAAAAAAGAAAAGAAAAGATAGAGAAGAGATTAGTTTCAGCTAGTGACGGCTTAATGACAACATGAAAAACTAATCACAACTAATAAAAAAAAAAGCATGTTTAATTCTGACAAACTGATTGACACCATCTACAGAATACAATAAAAATCATGACAGTTTCATATCATGATTTGAACAAATGAAGGAGAGCCCACTCCCACAAAAAAAAACAAAAAAACTGGTTAACAAGAAAAAATAGAAATAAAATACAACTAACAACTAATAGTTAGTAGCAGTCAATGAAGGAAATTGGAGAACAACAACAATGAATAGGTTTGATATACAGAATTCTGAAACAGTCAGTGCAGTTATCAGTATCTGACTGCTATTAAGCATTAGTATTCTCTCAGATGCAAGCATTAAAGCAACTATTAATGATGGATGTGATTATTAATAACTGATGATTAACAGAAATGAATCTAAAGAAATTTAAATTTCTATGAACAATTTGGTTCAACATAAACTCTGGGCCAAACAAGGTTTCTTTTGTTCAATAAATGTTTATTGCTTTTTCAATTATTCTATTTACAAACAACATGGAATTTCTTGGCCTTATGATACAAAGCAATACTAAACTGTAGTCTAGCAGTGTAGGCAACATCATGGGAACCAGAAAAAGGCCAGGCCTTTTGCGCTGGCCAACACTTTCCAGTTGAAAATACTATTTTACACATATAGAACACTTATAAAATGCACTTGCATGTAAACACTGTAAAATCCTGCCATTTAAAATTCTATACTCAAAAAGCTCTAAGTACATCAAAAAATAGAAGAAATTTCTAATTGATACCAATAAGGCATTTTAAAACTACAAACAGCTTTCTTTATTCAATTTCAAAGCTAATACTCTGCAAATACAATAAAATCTGACATTTCATATACATTCCTGCTTTATATTTTATATTTTAAAAGAAGCCACCTGTAAATACTATTTTCTTTTGCAAAACAACAAACAGAACAAAAAAAAATTAAAAAATTACAGTAAAACATAAAGTAGTTCTCAAGTGGAAAGTTATCGTCCCCAGTGTCCTCGAGTTGTTCCTTCCTTATAAATCAACCTCTGTCACATTCTGCTTCACCAAACTTGGTCCACTTAACAGTAGTATGATTTTTAAGACTCATTCAACAGCTTAATTATTTCTACTATATTCTGAGGTTTGACAGAATTTTCTGTACTGTTGCCATTGTGACTAAGGCAGAGGAGATGTGAATGAAAAATATTCAGTGCAAAGGTAGATTCCATGCCACTTCATAAATCATAACCCAGTAGGTATAATGTTCACAGAGTTATTTGAAATGATCTATATAATGGACTGGTTTACTTTCATATAACAAAAATGCTTTCTAGAGTCTATCATTCAGGATAGTTTATAAATACTACAAAAATACTGCATCTTCAATGTGACCAAATCTTCCCTGAATTTCTTAAAATAAGTGGAATTTTATTTAAAATAAAAACTGCTATTCCAAAATTAAAGAAGAAAATAAATATTTAACACGATGTAGTCATACCACTTCATAGGAAGTACTCCCAAAATACAGAATCTTAAAGCATTTTTGATATTACTTTAAATTTTGATTAAAATTGTATTAAGTTTCTTATACAAATTATGCAAATGATGGTTTTTAATAAAATCATCACTCAGAAAAACTCTGATTATGTTTTTGGGTGTGTGGAATATATAAACAAAGCAAATTACCACATATGGACCAGTACACCTAGAATACACCCTCTGCCAAGTCCTGGCCTCCTACAGTACACACAGGTGTGTCAACCGTGCAAAATCACTTATGCTTCATTACAACTAAAAAGTCAGTTGGTCTTTTACAGGCTTCAAATTCAGTTTTGAAATATGCGTAGAAGTGGGTTTATTTTTAGTAAAGAACTAGATATATTTGTCAACCATGCAGTATTCTAAATACTTATATAAGATTACATGGTTATATGTCCAAGGGCTGAGTTTCCTTGCATTAAATGAATGCTTATTCTTCCCTTCAAAAATTAAAAAACAAAAAACAAAAAAAACCCCTCAAAAATAGAGAAAACAGTAGTATCATAAAATAATTTAAATGAAGGACTTCAGACATCTCCCTTAGACCCAATGAGTGCATACAGTGATAGTAACAGCAGTATACAAGTATTCTGTTATTTAAAGAAAATAAAAAAGGTAGCATTTCGGTTTGCTGACATTGCATTTTGAATAAAAGTGACAAGACTAATAAAAAAATACATATAACTACGAAAGAGCCATGCATGGAATGTGTTGTCATTTCCAAACACTATAAAATCTTCCTAATATTTTCAACTATCTCAAGCTACTGCAGCACTGAGTAGCCAATAATTATTGTGTTAAAACAAAATTATGAGAAATCTCCTAAAAGGGGCAGAAAGGGAAAGATTAATAGAAGAAAAACTACTTTAAAATACTCTTTCAAACTATTTTGGACATTAACAATGTGGAAAAAAAAAGCTTCAAATTATTCATGGAATTATCTGGTTTCCTTAAATCTAAAGTGACTTAAAAAAAAATTTCCTCCTTCACTAGGAGGCTTGTTCTGCAAGAAGGTGGTGCATACACTTGTACATGACACACCTACAAGGTGCTTTATTGTCACAGATCATCACTGAGCTTGGGGTCTATTTATTTTGATCACTGAATAATCACAAGTAATGTATGTATTAAAGTCTTCAATTCAAGGCTCTCTAATTATGTATGATGTTAAATAAATATCATCAATGTCTTTGGAAGGTATTCTAGTCTGATGTGGACAACAGCTGTGTCCAATATTTATCATCAGTATTCAGAACCATGTGAGGCAGGTAGGTGGTTCATAAGTTCACAGAAGATGTAGGACAGCAGTGTAAATTCCATCACTTTTCCCACTAATTACTAGAGAATCTGATCAACTTAATAAGTAATAAATGTGCCACAATAGAAGCTTGATAAAAATTTTTTTCTACCTTGCTTCGGATTCTTACCCTGTGATGACAAACTTAGAAAACAATTCAATGTCAATAAACCGAAAATATCACTCCTCAAAAACATAAATAATTTATAATAGGGTCCAAGGGCATATACAGGACACAAATTACAAATGTTGAAACGGAGAAAAATGAAGACTTATTTTCCAGTCACAGGTTACTCAAAAAGGATATTCAAAGCTGGATTCATGTCTCCACAGAACTTTAAGAGATAGTTTACCTTCAGATAAAATATTTTAGCAGCAAATGACAAAAATCAAAGGATCCATTTTGGCAAGAGAATGTAAGAGTAAAAGGGAACTGATTTTCTCATTTATTAAAAAAAAAAAATCCAACTGCATCAAAGTTATCTTCACAGTCCTTACTTTTGTTGATTTCAGCTGAGTACGTGACATGTATAACCTCATGTTTACACAGTGGCTCAAATATCTTATGAAAAAGGAAAATGGAAACTAAATCTTCAGTTTTCTCCACAAGGACACAGGAGGCATATATTCCTTTACTTCTCTCATTAAAGCACCATCCGCTCAGTTCATTTGCAAAACCAACCCAAAATTTCAGAACAAAGGTAAATTTTAGCAAAAATTACGACTGAAAAATAATTAAGGCGACATCAAAATTTAACAGCTCCCCAAATGGACTAATTTATGTTTTAGTAAGAATAAATCACAGTACATACTAATATAGGATTTAATAAGTTAAAATAGGGAGCAAAAAAAAAAAGGGGGGGGGCTAAGAAAAGAAAGAAAAGGAAAAAAAATCCCAACCTTTAAATCTGTCAATTATGACATATCAATTTAGAAAAAGAAAAGAAATGGTGTGCAGGTAAGCAGTTATATTTTTCCATCAGGTGTGGTGTTGCAAATTTTATGGACACCCAACGCATTTCTTATAAACAAGAACTGCAGAACTAAACTAACCTCGGTCTGCGGTCACAATCCTTTGGTAAGGATGGACACGCATATCGTGCCTTCGAACTTTAGTAGCCACCGCACCTAGTTAAATTGCAATTACCAAGACAAAGTTAGAAAACATTCACAAGGGAAAAGAAAACAAACATTAACAGCAGGTTTATCAAAATGGATTTCAAATGTTCATTTACTACAAAAGGTTCATTTTAAGAAACACGTTAAGGCACAGTAGTTTTAAAATTAACCATAGTATGTTGTGTATATATGCGTCTATTAATATTGCATTCATTTCAAACATCTTGGCCTTAACCTATTTTATCCATTCATTCACGATCCCAAGTTACAGTATTTCATGAACTCTACTAGATCCAAACATATTTAAGCTTTACTAGTCACATATTCACTGAAGTGCCTTTCTCGCAGCAGGACCACTTAAATAATGCCATGTTTAATACTGACAATTATTTGCTAACCTTAAGACCACTTCCAGAGTTTATCACTTAAAAAGGTTTAAAAGCAATTCTTAAAGCCTACAGATTGTGGTTTTAAACTCTGAGTCAATAAGTATGAACTGCAATGAATTAGGTGATTAGTAAAGCAAACAGTATAGTACACTTAGCAGTCAGTATACTACTATACACTCCTTTATAAATTACCGTTACTTTGTAAGATTACAGACTAAACCAAATTAATAACATACTTTTACTTTCTATCAGTGTGCAAAAAGTGCAAGTAAGTCACTGACTGCTAGGCTAAGCTTCCCCCCCACCCCCCTGGAGGCTGCTGAGACTAAGCATTTGTTAAATTCAGATCTGATGAGGGTTCAGTTAAGACCGTTCTTGAATTCTTAGCCTTTCGTTGGGAAAGCCATACCTAAAGATAAAAGGAAGGGAATTAAAAATTAGTCATCAATGAAGATTTGATGCTAATACCAATCTCCTCACTACCACCAACACACATGTCTGCATCCGTTTTGAAGGGCACTGCTTATTTTAAAATAGTATGATGTGAAACTTGATATATATCATGCATGTTATCTGTGTGCAAATTTATTATAACTTAGCAATTTGAAATAATTTTCTCAGTTCTCCAAGTGCTCGTCATGTTTTACTGCTTAGGTGGCAAAGCAAGAAATAGGATTGATAATGGATTTTGGTCATTTAGTACTCATTATTATTCATTTTATGAATGCCAATTAGGTATCTGTACATTTTGCTTTTGTCAGTCTAATAATTATTATAAATAATAATTTCCCAACACAACAAAAAACACATTGCTTAAAATGAGAAACTGCAGTGCCTCTTGCTGTTTCTAAGCAGTAAACTGGTCCATCACCCCTTTTTCATTTTAGATAAACTAATCTTAGACAAGTATAATTCCACGAGGCAAAATCAGCAAGATCTTGCATTGAGTGCTGGAACAGCAGCTGGTGGCTAAGAGTGCCAGCCCTGCAGGAAGCAACAAACTCCTCGACCAGACGCTGTGCGTGCAGCAGAGAGGAGCTCTGGGGAGAGGAGCAGGCATGGGGCCACAGGACAGAGCGTTAACAGAAAGGAAAACGTAAACAGGTTACATGTTACATGTTATTTTAAAAATGCTTCAAGAAATGTGCAACAGAATCAAGCTTCTCATAAACAACTCTATAGTATAATTCTGACCTGTGATACTTTATACAATGATTTAGAGATAAACGGAAAACATGTACAATAAAGTGTATTTGCTCATGAAACAAAAGGCACCTGAGTGCATGCACACACACAGATAACATACAGAGCATTGTGGCTTTCTTTAATTGTTGAACAATGAATTTTCAAGTTTAAATCTTAGTGTCCAGGTTCATAAAGACTTTCAAATTTTTATAAATCAATATTAATGCTGGAAAAAAAAAAAAAACCTTAAAAGATCAAAGTCCTAAGAGTCAACAGCATGCATGCAGCACCAAGGTCATACACAATTCAAGGAAAAAAAGTATTCAAATTCTGTCTGGAAAAACAAAGGGGCAGCACGGAAACAGTTTGTCCCACATTGACTGGTCGTGTTATAACAGCTGCTGTATTCTAGTCCTTCATCCAGCAAGTCAATGGGCTGAAATATCAGGCATGACTGGCATTTCAATCCACTCTATAAAAAAAAGGCATCAGTAATGTCTTTTTCAAGCACACCACTTTTTGTTCATGTAAAACCAAGCGTTCATAGTATGATCTTAATTTCTGCCTCAAATGTGACTCTAAAACAGTGACTTGGTATTTACTTATCAATTCCATACTGTACTACTGAAATTAGGAATTTCCCTTATGTCTGATATTAACTAGAACTTCAAAAGAGGAAACCTAAAGAATCCAACTAATTTACCTGGTCTCTTTCTTATTTTAAGTGATCACAAATATTAGAAAACACACAGACAATAACAGCAGTTTTTAAAAAGCTCTCAAAATATTTCCACACAGAAATTTAAAATTTAGTTGACAATTAAATAACTCCCTGAGACAAAAGGACTCTAACTGTAGGCAGTGGAGCCAACGGAGGGGATAGGTCTAACTCAGAACGACCACAGTGATGTCAATGGTGAAAAGTATTGTCTGTTTAAAATGTTTACTGATTTACAAAAGTGAATTTGAGTTACCAAAGAGAATCTGAGCACAAATTTAAGGTGCAATTCTTTAAAAGGGGAGCCACTGAGAGAGGCTGAAATAAAACAAACTTTAGGCTTCTGTCTTCCTAATGGAAACTTGTCTTGACTCTCTAAAACTAATACAATCATTTCAAAGTCTGAGGCACAGAAGTTATGAAAGAAAAATACTAGCAGCCACACAGGGAGAACAACTTACCTAATACACCACTAGGTTCAATAGGATACTCAAGGATTGATGTAGCTGGTGCCAACGTGTAGGGGTACTCATAGGGTGTGTAGATCAAACCAGCTTCGGGCCCCGGAGGAACTATTGCAGCAGTCGGGTGAGGAGTTCCGTTTGGCATGACAGCGGTCTGTATCTGTCTGATCAAAGGCATTATGGTAGGGCCAGCGGGCGTAGGGGTCCGCAGGGCAGCTGGTGGGAGGACAGGCGCAGGCCCAGTGATAATCCGTGGAGCAGCCTGGGCTGTTGCTGCAAGAGAAAAGGCAAGGGCTGCTACAGTAAGCAAAGAAATGCAGGAGGAAGTGTAGAGACAGCAGTATAAAATATGGAAAATGAGAGGGAAGTAGGAAAAAGAAAGGAAAAGCAGGAAAGAAGAAAAATAAAAGGAAATCATTAGTACATGCGCTGATCACACAAAATGCCAAAGCACACCGATCAAATGCAAACAGCTTCCCCTTTCCCAGTGTGATTAAGAATGTGCAAAAATTACCAAGCCACTGTAAAAAAAAAAATAAATAAACCAAAACCAAAACCAAAAGAAAAAAAAAACCAACAAAAAAGAGAATACCATTAAAATAGGTTATATTTCATATATTTGATACAACTGTGTTTTTAAGATTTCATGAGACTAACGATACATGCAGAAGCACATGAAAACACTCGCATTAAAAGATGTTAAAAATTTTTGGAATTGGGAGTCCACAGAAATACAGTTTTGGTTTATTTCTAAAGAATAGCTTAAGTTTCAAATTAAAAAAAGAATAATTTTTACTGTATTAACCGACTACTAGTTTTATATGAATTTCCTGCATCTGTAATGAACTTCATCGAAAAGACAATATAAAAAATAACCCATTCCTAAATATAAGACTATTAGTGATCTACTCTACTCATTCTCATGAATAAATTAAAGCCAACCATTTTGTAAAGCAACCACTTCTGAACCCACTAAACTGCCTATACTTTGGAAAGTTGGCTAGGACTTTAAATTCTACTTCTTTTAAAAAAAGCTAGTAATTTAAATGGAGATTATGTTCATTAAAAGACTTGTGAACTTTCAATTGCCTCAAAATATAAAAAAGCAATCCTCTTCAAGTTTATGAAAGCATCCACAGATATATCTAAAAGAAAAATGGGATTAAATATAGTATCACCTACTGCTCTCTGTGAACTCATTCACATATGAAATCAACAGAGAAAAATACTGGAGGGGAACATTAGCAAGCAAGGTGAAAGGACAGAATTTGACAGAAGGGTCACTGCTTTCAGATACATTCCAAATTATAGTTTTCTAAAAAAATAAAAAAGTTTAAAAAAAATTGTCTTTTGCATAAATATAACAAAATAAGCTAGAAGCCTTAAATCTGTAGTTAACAGAATAGGAAATTGCCTGAAACTTAAATTTGGAAGTTGAAATTTCACCAAAACAATAAAGTGTATAAACCCAAAACTTAGACAGGCTAGCATAAAATAAAGGAGAATGTCCCCAATTCATGAAAGCAGTAAAAATGGGACTGTTAGTCCGTATCAAGTGACGATTATTTCGACTCTTCACTTTGTATAACTGTTCATGTGTTGTGCTGCCAAAAGGAGAAAGGTTTGTGGACTAAACAGCTAATACGGCTATACCCATGGACCTCAGCCTCATTCTTACGTGATTTAATGTTGGCATCTCTGTAGGTGCCGTTCAGAATTGCGAGCTCCATCAGCTGCATCTTCTTCAGGCTGTCTTCTCCCTCTGCCTATACATGGAAAACACAAAAGCAGTAAGCACTTAGGATGGTCCACATACATCACAGCCATATCTACTCACAAGCCTTAAAATAAGGAGTATGTGACTATAGTCATCTGCTTCAATCAGGGAGAAGAAGGAAAAAAAAAAAAAAAAAAAAAGACCAGGGAACCAAAAGGTGCTGACATACTGATACACAGGATACTCTCAACTACCACTAGCTACATTTCTGTGTGGAAATTTTTTATGTGAAGTACACACTGATTTATTAAAGTTCCCCAAAAAGCTTTGCTAAATAGAATAAATAAAAATGTTAATTAAGATTAAATATAGTATATTTATTCTCTTCAGCATCATTTTGTAGCAGATTCAAAAACTCAATGTGCTCATTAAAGGGGAAAAAAACCACCAACAACGCATAAAAAACCAAGCAACCCCCCCCCACCAAACTGGGATTTTAAACATATAATATAGGATGGTGGTATTCACTTATGAGAATTTTCTGTTTAATTTTCTAAAAATGAAAATTTAATAATATCACAATCATAAGAATTTCTAAAATTTGAATATATATTCTGCTCTCTTATGCCAACATCCTTCTCTCCCCTCAATTAGTAAATACTATCATCATTCTAAAGCAAATCTATCTCTAGGGCCACCATATGATGCACTGTCCAACCCAGGAGACATTTAAAAGTAAAAGCTCTTAACAACTATGCAATGGTGCCAGGCTTAAAAAAACCAGGATTGTCTCTGGCCATCAAAATGTTTGGCCATCCCATTTACCTTGGACTTGCCCCACCCTTTCGGTTGACTGCTGTCACCCTTGTTCTAGTCATTATTGGTGTATTACCAAAACTACTACGATACTATGTTATTGGTATCTGTTCTCCAATCAATCTATAGAACAGTAAGATTAACTGCACACAACTTTTCTTCTTAATGTTCCTTAACATTTTCATGTCTTAAAACCCTTCATAGTTTCTTGCTATCTAAAAATATAAACCATTTAAGCTATCTGTGGGATCTGGGCCCAAATTATCTTCTCAAGTTAAAGCAATTAGTCTTCTACTATATTTTACACCTATCTTATACTATAAATCAAATCAAATCACTCCATGTTATGCATCTCTGTGCATATTCCTATTTCCCCTATCTTGAATGCTCCTCTGCACTCCACTCTACCCTCCTTCTAAATCCTACCTAATCTCTGCAAACTCCAACCTAACTTCTACCTTCTCAAAGGGCCACCCTGAGATTACACTGTTTCTACCCTGATTTATAGTTTCATGGACATCACCACTAGCAAAGGAAGTTCCTTGAGAATAGAGCCCATTTCTTATTTATCACTGCCTATATTCCCATTCAACCTTGTCCCACAAGTTACTTTTGCTAGGACTTCCAAATGACTGATAACAAAAAATCTTCATTTCCAAATCTCAAATGTCTAAATCCTACAGGATTAAGCATTAGCTACGGCAAAAGAAAGCAGTAGACGAAGGTCCATTTACCAAGATTCTTTCCTGAAGATGGTGGTAGATTATGGTAAAACCATGCACTACTCACATGTTTTATGCATTATCTAATCCTTAGTACTTAATATTTAAAAACAAAGTAACCCAATGACACTTTTTTCTGACCTAATTCAGAAAGGGGCAGGACCAGAGGACAAGCTTCTCTGTCCTCCCTTTCTACTGTAACTGTCAATGATATACAAAACTTTGTCCTTGGCACTACAGCAGCACAAAGGGTACTATAATTTATAGTAAACAGAACTGCCAAATTTGCTTTTAATAAACCACAAAGAATTAAAAAAGATGAGTGAACACACGAAGACAAAGTTTAAGGTGTCACTGCCAACTTTTCAAAAACCTTTGTAGGAGAAAACAGAGAAGATACCCATATGCCTGTGGAATTACTGTTCCTTGACTCCTATGAACTTGTACAAAGATGACTGAGAAAAAAGTGAAGTAGTAAGATTTATTTGAAAACCATAGCAATTACTTGTTAATGATAAAAATAAGTAAGCATCAGCAACAAAAGGGACAAATTAGCAATCCATTATCTAACCCAAACTCCCTAAACTTGTTCCCTGAAAACTAGTGATGTTAAAAACTCATCAAGTCATTTCAAATTCAAATCTATATATAACAGAATACCAGAAGCATATAAATTATGCAATAGGTACCTTCTTCACTTTCAACAGTGAAACAATGGTGCATGTTTGAAAATATCCAGTAAGAGACAGAAATAAAGATGGAAGAAGTGATGTGGTCAGAGTGCTGTAGAGGTAAGCGGTACTAGAGCGCATGCTTTCACCCAAGTGTTCTTTTGGATAACAATATAACCACACTCATTAGCTGGTGATGCAGTGTTACCAAAGAGAAAGAGGATGGAAGCAATACATGCGTGCACATCAGGGTTCGTGCACGTAGGATGTACATATGTGCCTTTTACAGGTGCAGATGTAGTGTCATCAGCAGAGCTCCCCCCGCCCCACCCAAGAGGAGACTAAAACCCAGAGCAGCACAGCTCTCACTAGGCAGCAGCAATGGACTTTGCCACAATGACCTCGCTGGAGGCCACTGAGATTCACAAGTTATGAATTACAGTATGCACACTGATTACATCACATTATGGCAGGCTACACTACACCTCCTAGCAGAGCACAAAATTTAGCTATGAAGGCTGGAATTTAAACCTGGTGGTCTCACTCCAGAATAAGCTTCACTCTGGCATCTTCATCACTTCTCCCCACCTCGCCCGCCGTTCTGTACTCACGGAGCATGATGCTGTTGTCTCAAGAGTTTGCAGAGTTCATTACAGAATTACTCTTAACACAGAAGCGGTTAGTTAAACCTTCTTGTCCTGGTTTTGTCAATGAAACTTGACATCATATTCCTGCCTGAATGCTGTTGAAGGGGTATGCCATCTGTCTTTCAAATATAACTTCAGATAAGAAAATGTGCTAATATCTTAGGTAATTTCTACTAAGTTTTTTCTATAGTCCAGAGGCTTAGAGGTTTTACTAGCCAGGCTTTGTATCAGGAGTTTATTTGATGTTTCCTCTTCTCTCAAAGATAAAAGCTGATCAAATATGGCATCCTGAAATCATACATCTCAACTCTAGACATTTCAAAAGGCATTTTTGTAGAACTTGCACAGGAACAAACCTCATATAAAGATGGAACACTGGCTTTTTCTTCTGTAACAAAAGAAGCTGTTCTTAACCAACCCAACCTCAAGTCATAAAAGGGTATTTTATAATGCTGAATCAAAGTGGTCATCTAGAACTTTATAAATCCTCATTTCTCAAGTATTTGCTCTATCATTTAAAATCGAGATATATAATTTATATGCAGTGAAATCCTGAGATCTTAAGTGCAACATCCAGTCAGTTTTGATGAATGCTAGTCATGAATGCTAGTCATTTGATGAATTCAAGTCACAGGATGGTTCAATCAACTCAAAAAGTTCCGTTGTGCCTCTTCTCACACAAGATCCTCCTCACCCTCTGCCCCCGGAAACCCTCGATCTGATTTTATCACCAGTTTAATTTTGCCTATTCTAGAATTTCATATCATGGAATCACAAAGTATATACTTGTGTGCCCAGCTTCTTTCCCTCAGCATTTATGAAACTCTTCCCATACCGTTGCACGTGTCAGTAGCACACTTGTTTTGACAGCTGAGTAGTATTTCATTTATTTATCCTTTCTTCTGCTACAGACATTGGGATGTTTTTGGATATTGTGCATAAAGCCACTGTGAAAATTCTCGTACAAGGTATTTTTGTGAATATAGTTTTTTTCCCCTCCATTTCTTGAAGACACACCTAGAGGTGGATTTGCTGTGTCATAGGATAAATGAATATTTCTCTCATAGTTTGTATGAAAAGCATTATGTAAAGGTTACTGAAACATTCTGAGTAACATACCTTTGAAACATAAAAGTTTAAAAAATATAACAAAGACCTGCTAACTTCTCTATAGGTCCATTGCCCCATATCTAAAACCTGTGACATCAGAAGTATTTTTGAGAATTTTTCAGATTTGAATAAAGACAGTATACCAAGGATTACATAACATCCCCGATGGGTCTGGAGGAATACTCCAATAATCCAATCTGTGATAAACATAAAAATACACTAAGTAGGATAAAGAGATTATTTTTCTTTTCCTTTCTGAACTTTTTGGGGGTTTACAATTATGGAAGACAGATTATGAATCTGCATAAATAACCTATGCATATTTTATAATAAATTACAGCTATGTTATCAGCTGTGTTTAACAGCTGTTAATGTGACAGATTTGGTCATGGTTAATACTAGATTGAGAAACCAAAGGTCTTAACATTTTTTAAAGTAGAACGATTTATATACTGCTACACCTTAGATATCAGAGTTTCATCATCTAAACATTTATGCTTTATAACACATCTATGGCAATGGTACTGTGTTATCCCTGAGGCCTAGACAGGTTAGGCAGCTTATCCAATGTTGCATATGGTCACACTGCACCACTGGCTTCCCACCCAGCGTACTTGACCTAAACTGCTTTACCCTCTCCTCTACGTAGTAGTGCCTTTAAGTGGAATTATCTTTTGGATTCATCAAAGACCTCACATAAGAAATGAAGAAAACCATGTTTATTTGGCAGCTTTAAATTTATAAAGTACACATTAAAAAAACTCCACCACAACAATGTAATTAATTACAAAAGAGAACTGGAGCAAATGTATGAACATTTCCAAATCATTATAATGTGATTAGTAAAATAATTTGCCTGTAAGAGAAAAGCCTAAACTCTCCAGCTTAGCAATCAAGGCACTGAACAACTTCTATAAGCAGCCCTATTTGCAAATATTAGTCAAAATCATCTGCCCAAGCAGGGGGAGTGGGAGAGGGAAAAAACAAAAGGAAAAAAAAATCATCTGCCCACTGATCCCTAGAAGCCCACTTTACTTTTCTGCCCCCAAGTTAGACAAGATCCTATCTAGATCTGCATAGAAC